ACTTCTAGCCATGGTTGTGCTGTTTCCTTAGAGGTGCAGCACTTATATATTGCAGTGAAAATCAAGGCCACAGAGAGAGAAACTGTGACAGGAGTGAAAAACGCTGCAAAACTGTTGGACACTGTAGAGCGAAGCTGTTGTCACTTATGTGATTTAAAAAAAAAAAAAAAACCACAATCTTTTCCGAACCGAGTAGTTCTGTTGCCTAAACACACACTTATCGCTCTTGTTGCTGGAAATCCGCAGGAAAAACACACGACAAATGACTTTTTGTAAGATATCACACAAAGCGTTGTGCGAGGATACGTTGAGCTACGCTGGCATTACAGATGCTGCTGAGCCCTTTCCCCAACAGCAATGTCCATCATGAGCAGCTCCTCAGTGTTCAATCTGAAAAAGATGTTTCGTAAATCCTAACATGTGTGTTTTGCCGCCTTACCTCAAGAATGATATCTTGATAATGTGCTGCAGATTAAAAAAAAATAAAAAAGTTAAAGCCAGAGAGTACACCCATTAGCTATTTACACCTCATTAACTAAGTCAATATACTCACTCCACATTATCACAACAGCTGAGAGGAGTCTAGAGGATTTAGTTGCATTTAAATGAGGTATTCATTTCTCCCCTCAAGGCTTTAAAGCCCACTCTGGTGACATCAGGAAGTCTCACCCCTACATGCTTAGTAAAACATGAACGTGTCACTGAGGAGACACTACAGTACTACAGTATGTGTGTATAGAAGTGAATATAAACTCCCACGCAAAACAGGATCACGTTTAAAGGGGAGCGCCGTTTTCCAGAACATTTTGTTTTTCTTGAGCGATGGCTTCTCTTTCGACCTCTCTGGTCAGCAGGTGGGAAACTTCAACAGCTCGTCACCACATTCAAAGCGCAGCCCCCCATGTGAGAGGCCCATGCTGTTATTCAGATTATTGAACACGCAGCCTGTTGATCGGTATGAATTATGGCTGTACACCTTTTACATAATCACTCATATAGAATCGATAGACATACTAATCAAGGGCAGCGAGTATTGAGCGGGAGCGCCCACTGCCCATCAGTTATCCTTGCCTCGGGGGGTGGGGTGGGGTGGGGGGGTTTAGGACAGCCACAACCCCTCGCGAGGAGTAGCATCATCCATCAAAAGTTTGTGACACGCAGAGGAAAACTGCTCAAGCGTGTTGGAGTCCCGCCAATTTCAAAGAACAACCTTGGAGGCGTCCCGGACTCTGCGGACTAACGAGTGTTAACCGAGCGGTGCCGTTCTGCAGGAGGACAGGGCTTCACTGTACAGCGCGTTTGCTCTCGTCTACAGAATATGAAATATGCACAATTTTTGGAAGCAGAGCACACGGCTTTGCAAATATAAATTCAGCCTGTGGGCTTTCAGTTGTCTGTGAATATCAAAGCAATATAAAACGACTGGATTAGTGTTACCATATAAAAAAGTTTCTTTAATTAGAACGTAGTTGTACACGCACGATTTAAGTTAAGACCCACAGTGCAGGTGTAAACTGGAAGGACGTCGCTATTGTGCTGTGACAACGCATCTTGTGACATCACCAATTACGCCTTTTGGAAAGATTACTCGCCAGGAACAAGATTAAGACGCCACGGATGACTGATTAATTAAAGAAGAGGCAGAAATCCCTCACACTCGAAGCGAAATGGCTGAATCAGAAGGCAGAGCATGTTCAACCGAGCAAGGAAAACAGGAACTCCTCAGGATTTCATCATTATCATCAATTCATGACCCAACTCTAATTTAAATATCTTTTTATTTCGTGAGAATATTATTGCAGTTTAGGATCACTAACATCTCTGTACTGGCAGACCTTCACATTCACGTGTGGTGTAAAAGTTCCATTACGTTTGAACGTATCGCGATTGGTGGATTCTGCCTAAAAAAACATCTCTACATTAGCTCAATGTATCCGGGTGCATTCCCCTTTCATAGGTAGATATCTGGACACATGCCTCAACAAATGCATCATTTGATCAGAGGCAAGGTTCCTAATCTTCTTCAAAGATATTTGTTGCTGAAGTTCTCATTACATTTTGACAGCAAACAGTTCATTAAATAATCAAAAGCGTTGGAAACACCGGGCAGAGTTTTACCAGTTGGATCATTTTTACCAACATCATTTTTACCAACCCTGCCTTAAATTAGCTTGGGAAATATGAAATGCATCATCCAATGTAATGTAGGATAATTATTATAATTATGACGAGGTATGTGAAACCTCCAGTTTGTTCGGTCTTGCTACCACCTGATAAGAAAGAAGAAGTTAAGGTACGTCGTGCTGATCGGTGAACAAAACGCCTTTCAGGAGTGCAGACTGGCATCGTCGCTAGAAAATGGACCAGTGGAGTGCTCTGTTGACATGTTGCTGAATGCATTTGAATGGTATCCTGAACCCTGACACATTCTTCCACATACCGAGCAAACTCCACCCTCTGAAAAACACTGTGAGACGCTCTATAAACAGCTTGTAAGTAAACAACATGGGGTGTTTACAACATGGGGGACTGCAGTGACACATTTGACATATTATGGCCTTACTCAGCTGATATGCTAACGTGTTAGCATACAGTTTACTATTTACATATTCGGCAGACAAGAAGCCGCATTTAAAAAAAAAGAAAAAAAAAGAATCTGCAATATAAAGAAGTATGTTCGTGGTCAGCGCTGCAGGGCGAGTTGGTCTCATGCAAGCTCCAGCAAAGGAAACGCTCGACTAATATTTGATTTTCTCAGACTGTCATGTGATTAGGAACATCACGTACACAGGGTCCATCTTTAAGATAGCAGAGACTGACTCACACTGGAGCGTATGAGCGTATTCATCATTACAGGAAGTAAGACAAAATTACAACGTTTTTTGACAATCGTTAAATCTCTTGACTTTTGACCTTTCAGGTGCAGCGGCTGTGCTTTTTTTCAAAGCTCCTATATGCTCCACTCGTTCCGGCTCTGGCTTTTCCGCCGGGCTTATTAGAGTTTCGAGTGGGCTCACAGTCTCTCGTGTGTCAAAATCAGCAGTCAAATTACGCGGAAAACTAATTACCACCAGAAGGTCACAGTCTTTCCTGGAGGGAAAAGGGATAGGTGCTGAAACAACACTTGCACCAAAGGGAATGTATTTGACCGATAGTCTGCGTTTACAGGAGCAGAACATCTCTGCATGCCTCCCTGCAGGAGGGAAAACAGAGTGGTACTTAAGTTCGCTTAAATTCCCACAAAGAACTACATGACACTCTACAGTAATGCCTTTTGCCCTTTAAGTTATTCACATGAACCTTCATCGTTCAATCACGCCTCAGAGTTAATTAAGCAATACGGAGATTAATAAAGAAGATAGATGACACTCGATCTTACATGCATGCCCTGTCTCTGTGACAACAACTGAAGACTGGTAAGGTCAGAGAGCCCAACAATTGATGGAACTGTCATCCTCACGTAGTGGAAATCCACCAGCAGAATCAGAGTGCAGATTGACTTCTCACTGGTCCAGGGGACCAAACGAATGGCCTGAGATATATCAGTGGCCTTGTCCCCGAAACGCTAAACCCAACGAATCTCATCTGAGCGAGCGATCACTCACTCACGGTTAATGTCATTATTTATGCCTGTCCGATAACTGGCACATACAGTAGGCACTTATTGACTTCCTCCTGCTTCAGGAATATGAAGTCCGCCGGCCGTCAGGTCGACTCGCCAGGATCCGTCAAACGGTCTATCATTGTGACGGTAGCAAATCGGTAGAGGTGGGTCATTAAAAAAACATTCATCGGCAAAACTGATAGGGCTGACTTGGCATGTTGGACTGTTGTTTTTTAGTTTGGTGTTCTTTTGTTCTTTGCAGTGGTTGAAAATAGCGTGCATTGTGTTATATTGCACTGAAAACTTCACTAAGAAGCCTCTGCCAAATGCGTTATTAATTAAATTAAAACGTTACATGTGCCTGGGCGGAAGGTTCTGAGATACGTGTGCTTTACTTCTACTTTATACCTCAAAGAACATTTTGTTACCAATACTTAATAATTGTGTTTATTGCCACTTGGGGGCAGCAAAACAAGCCAAAAACAGATATGGAGCAAAATTAGCTTTCATTTGAAGTTGTGTTTCTAGCCACCTGAGTGTCAGTCCTTTTGGCTCTGTTTTGGTCTCCACCAACTCCTGAGGGAAGTATCTGTCTCTTTAGCTGATAAAAGCTCTACTACATTCACCAGCTCGTCTCTAACTGTGTCTCTCTTCTGTTCGCTGCTGAGCAGGTAGTGTGGAATGGGTTTTTAAGAGTCGGCAACCTCCGGTTCTGAAAAGTGAAGTCAATGCAGAAGTGTTTTAAACTTGCATTCTTTCTAACATCCATCAGAGGGCGATGTATAGAAGTCTGATTGTATAGAAGTCTATGAGAAAATGATCCTACTACTTTATTGATTTATTACCTCAGTAAACATTGTAAACATGAGTTTATGGTCTCAATCACTAGTTTCAAGTCTTCTTCAATACAGCATGATGTTCATTTAGTAAATTATGGTCCATTTAGAGTCAAATAGACCATAAAGCAGGGTATGATTTAGGGCGTGGCTACCTTGTTGACAGGGTGCTACAACGGCCTTGTCCAGTCTGGGAGTTGTCCCTGTTTTCATCTTAGAACTTTGAGATCCTTCTTCTACCACTGGTTCTTTGATAGTAGAGAGCAGCACTAGAGGCAGCTCTATTATTTACCCATTGCTTTGAGTTTCACTTCACTTGGACTGGTTTGTAGGTTTGTGTTTGATCTTCCGTGATGACTAAGAGTAATCTGTAGTCAGCACACAGAGGGAGTAGCTCCCCAGAGACCTGTTTCTATGTTTGTCATGTCATGAATTAGAACCCACCGTGGTACCCTGAAGCGCCACCGGCATGTCTTTTATTTCTGCTGCGCTTCTTTTTTTTTAGTGGAAGCTCAGAAGCCAAAACAAAGTTTACCCAGAGAGACGGAAAACAAACTCACATGCAAAGGTTAGACTGGCCTCTCGGCTGACGATGGTCCCGAAAGAGTTGGAGGCGAGGCACTGGTACGTTCCAGCATCTTGGTCCTTGTTCAGATGGCTGATTCTCAGGTTGCCTCCAGACAGGCTGTAGTGAGATCCAGATTTGGGACTGATTTCTGTGTCATTCAGTTTCCACCTGCAAATAAATACATGCAGAAAATGAACATGTAAATGAAGAAGTTAAACATTGTTCAGCATGGACTGGGGGGTGGAAGCATTCCAGACTACAAGAAGATGAACGTGACTTGTACATTTGATTGTTTTTTAAACAGGAAAGAAACAAAACGGTGACGAGGGCCCAGAAATCATGTCCCCCGGCTTTGTGTTAATCTAAGCAGCAGTGAACCACGGTGGTGCCAAGGACTTGACTCCCTGAGAACAGATAGCATTGCGGGCCATCCATCTTGCCAGGCCCCAGTCAAAGCGCATGAAAATGCCGCTTAATCATTGTGGCGCCACAATTAAAACAAATGCCTGCAACCGCGCCTTCGCGCTTGTGCATTCCAGACCGGTCCGCACGATAATCGTTGGCATTAGGTGTGATCAACGAAGGGTGTAATTCACTTAAAACGGCGACAGATTCTTCAATTCTTCGATGCACAGATGCATCTTATGAGGAAGAAAACGCAGGTGGGAGGAAAATCAGTCATTTCAGAACAAAAATGGTTTCAAGCCACAACTTACTTCAGCCAAGAAAAATAAGAGCGATCCGACTCTGTTATTTGTTATCATCGATGTATAACCATCGCAGCAATGAAAGGCTCTGCACGGATACACAAGCATGAAAGGAGCATTTTATGCCTTATTGGAAAATGGACAATGCAGATTTGATTAGACGGTGATTTGGCGGTTGATTATTTCATCGAGGAGAAGTTCTTCTGTTTTGATTTTGTTTTTGTGTTTTATTAATTGTGTCCAATTAATTAAATCATTTCAGGTTCAGCTGGGAAAAAAACAGCGTATTGTTACATTTGTAAAAGAAAGCAGCTTTGGTTTGCTGAAGCCCCTTAGACAGTAGACAGAAGCTGTTTGTGTGCACTGCTGTTTTACTCTCCTTGATGTGCCAATTTGGTGTCCAGAGGCATAAGAACTTTTTTTTGCGTTATCAGCGTGGTATTTGCTCTCTTTATTACATCTTGTGCAGTACAACACACCCTATAGGATAGACGCATTTGCTTAAAATTTGAGGCGGTACAGTGATCAATCATATACTACACAAGTAGGAGCTGATTACACGAAAAAAACAATTTCAGAATGTGTTGCTTAGCCGACTTCCCGCACCCAAATGTCTCACTTGTGGGCCGGGCATTGCAGCGCTCACAAAAGCGCCTCTACAGACTTTTGTCTTTTTCCTTTTAATAGACAACATGTGTGTAGCACAATGGTCTTCTCTGGTTCAGTCATAAGTAAGTGCCCGTTCTCAAGAGTCTTATTACTACACACAATAGAGAGGAGCCTGGGGGGTCTCACAGGGCCGCGGCAGCGATTCGTTTGCAGCTGAGGTGGAACAAACAAAAATCAACATAAATATCTCGCAGCCAAGTAACACCTTTGACTCGGATGAAAAAACGCTGAGCGGACAGCATCGGCCTCAGATAGCGGCTCCCTCTGCTTCTGAAAAAGGGTCCCATCAAAAATAAAAATAAACGCAACCTTTTATCTGGTCGCAATTACTCAGAGAGACTCGGCCGCATTGTGTCCATATTGGAACGGTTTAATAGGGCGACAGCTTGAAAATCAAATAAAGAACGATTTCCTCCGACGGCTCTCGATTGGCTGCTTCATCCGCGCCTTTCTAAAACATGAGACCGGACAGCTAATTGAGCATGGAAAATGTTGTGATGGTTCTGAGTGACTGATCACGGTTTCCACGGTGAAAAAGGTTGGAGGAAAAACGTAACGTGCTATATCGTGTGCAATGTGTGTGGTAGTTAAACGTACTGGAAGTGAAAGATAATTGCCCACCCAGAGGTGCCAATGTTCTGTTGTGACAAATTGAATGCCCTATGCCAGCTCTTGTTTCTCTAAGCCAATTAGATGACATATTTAAAGCCACTAAGTGACAGGTTCTCTAATTTGTGTGAAGCTCGAAGCACATTCTGACTACGTGTAAATTGAGACCGATTTGAGGTGAAACTGTGAATCCGTTGACGGCCACGTCTACAGCGAAGCACCGGATTACAGCAAACACGTATCAACTAGATTATTTAATAATTCCATTTACAATGATTTATGCTGGCAAGCAGGCCACAACAGCAGTTCCATTTGTTAGGCACATGCTTTATGCAATCATGTAACAACAGGGCCGCGTACAGAGTAGCATAATACCACACCATCTGGCTGATGAGGCTGTGGATGTCAGGCGGTCTGTTTCTTTTCTCAAGCCTGGTGCTTTGAAGCGTTTGTGCTACTCTTCACACAGTTACAGTTCATTTTCCAGTTTGGCTCTAAATCAAGTTAGAGAACAGGTAGCGTGAACCAAACAACCTATTTTATTGTCAACCTGAAATTGGAATGTGTCTTTCATGTCTTTCAGGCATACTTGATGACTTTTTAATAAAAGCAATAGCTCTTGCTTGAATATAGAATAACTCTACATGAAGTGCATTATAAAATAAGGAAGCCTCCAGTGTCCTCTACAACTACTGGTGCTCTTTTAGCAGAGGTGAAATCACTTCTAGAGCAGACAAATATGACCTACAAATATAAATTCCAGGCACCATATCATTTACTATACGGCCACAATAGTTACAATTTCCAGGGGAAATTTTCCTTTGCTCCTTCCGAGCCAGCCCTCCAGTGCCGGAGCTGGACAGTAACTCCTTGTTTGCGATAAACTATAGTAGCAAAACATCTTTGAGGATCTTCTTCACAGCACAACTCTTGGTTTATGTGAACTGCAACATTACCCATCCACCCAAGTAGTCTACAGGCTTGACTTCCCAGCGTCTGACTTTACATGGATGAAACTGACGGAAGACTGAGGGACAAGGTTTCTGAACACCGCTGTGCTTTTCGCACTGGGAGCCCCGCTTGTCTAATGGCCTGTGACTATCTGGGCGGCACAGCATTGCAGTGACTTCACAGAGTTAACTCCACAAGTCTAGCCGGGCCTTGAACTTGACCTTTTCCTCTTCTTTTGGAAGATATCAGGTGGGCAGTCTGGTTCGTTGGGAATTGCTCTATAACTTATCGGATTACATGCATTTAATGTTGTTAATTAAATAATTGTATAGTTATGTATGTGCCGTTGTTTTTGCTGTCTGTTTGTCACCATTTTTCTCGACAGAATGTGCCAGTGGTAAAGTCTATGTTTCATGCTGTAAACTTTCAACACGATTTAGCTGTCATCTGCTCGTCGCAAGACATTTTTAGGAGGCGGCGGCCTCTCTGACGGAGCCGCACGGCAACCTTGGCCGGGAAACAGCCGATTAGTTCATCCTCTATAAGCTGGCTCTGTCCCAAAGTATTAAATGTACCAATCCTTCCAATTCTCACCCTAGCAATTTACGGCGGGCAAACATGATCGATTTCAACTTTTTCCTTGCCAGAGAAGCTGCATCACAATGCAACACAACACTCTTTCAATAGACTAATGGTCCATAGCGAGGAGGGGAGAATAAAGAGGCGGGGGGGGGGGGGAGGAACAGCTGCTCTTTGAACATTGCTGCAGGAATGCAAAGCCAAACAGGCGTTCCTCGGCTACAGATAGACCAGACACGTCTCCAGCAGGGGGTTGAAGGGAGAATCCACACATTCCTATGATCCTGATCAGCTAGGGCTCGACTCAGGAGGATGAACAAGTTTCTAAAGCTAGAAAAAAAAACGAACAGAGCCAAGACTCTTTTGTTGCTGCATTAAGGGACAAATCCTGGAGCGATTTCATTCGGGATGAACCCGAGGCTGAATCTGAGGACACAATGGCAATACCCGTCACAAAGTGGACACTTCCTCCGCTCCGTTACCATTAAGAGCACGCTGGAGTGAAGCACATTCGAAAGTACGTTCCGAACTCCTTTATGAGTCCACGAGAAAGTCGGCTTCACTGTCAGCTCCGGGCTTTGTAAGATTAGAAGCTCTTTGGTTTCTAGCTTTAGAACAGAAGTGTCATGTGTGGATTAAACTGTCTGAGATCTAGAGAACAATGTGCGATCGCTGTTGTGCGCTTTATCGTTTTAGTTTGAATCACACGAGAGAGCTGCGAAGCCATAATTCTGTGACTACCTTATATTCTTACTCTACCATCAAGAATTACACTGATGAAACACTCCTAATGTGCAGCTTTTTGACAAACCTTTTGCCCATTATAGATTTAATTTCTACTTCCAGGTGAAATAGATTTACGTCAAATATGTAGAAATATCAGCTCAACGAGCCGAAATCCACTAAGTTGGTGAGAAGCATCTCACAATTATACAACACTCCATTTGCTATCTACACAGTGTTCCAGAGATAATAAAAAAATATACATATGTATCGATGATTATTATTAGACATACGATTCCTAATACTGCTACAAAATCTGCTGATGTACAAATGTACAACAAACAAACAACGTTTCTGAGTATCTCGGGCCACTCGTAAGCCTTTGGGGAGATCTTGTGTTCGGTTGTGTGTGTGTGTGTGTGTGTGTGTGTGTGTGTGTGTATCCGTCTGCCATAACTAGTCCACATTTTAGCCTCCTCCATAAAAAAGTGGGGTTTTAATTCCACACTCAATTCGTTATGATACACTAAAGTAAGGCCCAATATAATATTAATAAATCTCTGTTTTATTCGATTTTTTTAACTCCACTGCCATCTTGATTGTCAGGAAGCCACGAGGGACAGCCGAGTGAGATTCAACTCTTCTTTGTTTGGGAGGGGAGAGGGAGACACGCCTGGCTGAGATCTGCTATCTACTGAGTGCACTTTTCTAGTTTGTCTCGCCATTCATGATGGCGGCTATGCCTTGAGCTGAGGCACTACCGCTCCCATTATGCTTTGGGTGATGTAAACATGCAGTGAATTATTGCAACAGAGTTTGTGGGTGAATTGTGTGCTAAACCTGGTCCCTGCGTTTCTTTAATTTCGTTGTTCGTTCCCATTTAGGGCAAATCGGCAACACAGAAAGTGAACCTGCACTAGCTTTGCATTTGCTGCTGGCAGTTCCTGTTTGCACTGTAACCATGGATGTACAGACAAAGTAATGAAAATCTGAAGTTATACTACTTATATTTTTATACGATTTCTAAGCCAGCTTAATGTCTGCCCTCAATAGACCAAAGATAAATCCATCACTGGAAAGATTCAAGGGTAAGTTTGATTATTGTCAACAAATCCCACGGAAAACAATAGATTAGTCTGTCACTCATTCTGTCTGCCCCGCCCTGTCTGTGGCCACAACCCATGTGTTCCACTTGCATTTTTAGAAATGAGTTCTGATTAATTTCTTTCATACGTGTATACTTTATAAAATGAGCACTGAGGTGTTAAGCAAATATCACTCAAGCTAAATTACTGTATTTGTCGGGGGACTATTTCCAGCAGTGGATTAATATGCACATTTGGAGCACTTGTGAATATTTTCAGCAGTGGGACGGTTACGTCAGATTGACTAAAAATAAATGAAATGTTCATCACAATGAAAGGAGCATGTCACCCAGTGCAACAGTGTGGCTCCCTGATGTGATTTTTTAACATTTCTTTGACAATAGTGGAGCTCTACGGCACAGAATGAGATACATCAGGCTTAGTAAACACATAACATTGTTATTAGTAGGATCAAATCATTGTTGGTTTTGACATTTTAATGGGATTTGTCGACAACAAGAAAAATGCAGAATAATTACCAGACGTATCCTTCAAGTTCTGCTGATGCCAGCAGTTTAAGTGGCTATTATTTGCTATGCCTTGAACAGCTACAACATTTAAGTAATGCTTCAGTCGTGACACTTACTTTTCTGTTTCTACTTTTAATTAAAATCACATTTACGAAAGCAGGATTTCTCTTCTAACAGAGTGGTAGTGCTACTTCTACTTAAGAAAATAATCCGAACACTTCTTCCACCACTGGTCTGTGGGTTCATGGATGTGGATGAGTCTGTGCCCACACAAAGCAATTAATCAGTCTTTCAGTGCAAAGCATCACTTATTGGTTGAGGGGGCAACAACATGATCATGCTAAATTATGTAACAGGATTCATGGAGATTTAAGGTTTCCGACCGTTCACTCTTATTGGTACTCAGAGCTGCCCGCATGCGAGGAGGGATTGTTTGAGACAAGATGGAGACATTTGCCACTGATAGGTTGTCGAGAAAAATAATGACAGATGCTGACATCGACGGGGAGGAACAAAAATGTGCGGAGGTGAACAGAATGACGCCCTGCAGGCGCTCACTCACCGGTAGATAGGTGGCGGGCTTCCCTGGGCTTCACAGCTGAACACCACCTCCCTGTTGTTCTGCACAGCCTCCACGGGATACACGATGCTGCCGGGCTGCTTGGTGAAGACAGGGCTCTGCAGGACACCGCTCTCTGTAGGACACAGAGAAAGACAAAACTGCTGACTACAAATTTAGACCAAAAAGAAGAAGAAAAAAAGCCAATTAGTCGGCGGTAGAAACAGGGTGATGCTGCTCTAAGTGTTTAGAAGGGCAAAACCACAAGCAGACACAACATATCAATTTGAACCGCCTGTCACGACAGCGCGGTGCCGAGAAGAATGATTTGAAGCGGGACGTGTCTTCAGCAGCTATTTAGGCGGTAATAGGATATAGAGCCTGATTAATGTTGAACAATTGTCCAGAAAAATGCCTTAATTTATGTCTCTCAAACTGCTTTTTTGTTGTCCATTTGTTTATTTATTTGCCCGGTGATGTTGAAGTTGTTTGTTGGTGCAGAGGTGTAATCAGCTGGTTTCATGTGGCCAGAGCGGTTTGTTGCAAATGACACAACAGAAGTCTCAGTTACTCCATTAAGTTGCCACTAACGCAGGGTGCTTCCTGTGCATGGCTTTGGAAAGGATCAATGACACTTTGAAGATAAGGAAAATTAACAGATTTAATCACTGTTTTTTATTTGCTGTTGCCTAATTGTTCTTCTTTAAAGGTTAGGCGAACAGAATCCAGATTTGCTGAGGTAAACGGAGATCTTGGATTGTACAAGCCAATCTGAAATCTGAAAAAGAAGGAGTAGAAGAAGAAAAAGAAGATGAAATACAAACTAAAATCAATGTTGCTTTAAAAAAAACACCTTGACCTTTCGAAGTCTGGGGCCTATATCCGTTTAAAACTGAACTGCAGTGTTGATGGCACAGTACTTGTGGGAGCTTCATAAGGGATTTCAAAACATTTTTGAAAAATAAAATATGTCACAATTTAACTATGATTTTATTTGCATTGGGGCATGTTCATGTAGAGTACTCCAACATATTTTTTTGTCATATCTTAATGTAATATGTTCTTATATGTGTAAATGCAGGTGTGTGAGAGAGAAGAATGATCTGAGCAATCTACAGTAGAAGACGAGAAGAGACTGCCGGTCTGACTCTACGACGAGTAATGAGCTCCAGAGCCGTCACACAGTACAGCTGAATCATGGTCTAAAAGTGTGGGAGTGAAGACCGGACGATGTCATTAATATATTATCAGGAAGTCAAGTGATTTTTTTTTTTTTTTAGCCCTTACCACATCCTTATTGAGTTTCCATGCATGTCCAAGTGGTGCAGAATATGGCCTCATGAAGCCTTTCTTGACCAGGAAGTTACCAGGTAAAGTCATCTGAGCTGTGACCCGCACGCATTCACCAAACCAAACATTGATATTGGAAAATTCTGTAAAGCCGTACATTCAAATACAATCAGCGGTGGAACAAAAGTCTTTTGTATATACCTTCCCAGCAATGGAGATCGCAACCGGTAATTTTGTCTCCAAACTATGGAAACTTTGAAGCAACAGAAACTTCAGCATTGTGTTGTGAAGGTATAGTGACAGATCCACGTAGAGCTGTATAGGACCATATACACAGGGTGATGCATAATTCAAAGAACTGCTCAATAGGCAATCTAATTCAAGAGAATGTCTCCCTGCTCACCTCATATTTTAACAGCATCAGAGTATGCTTCCAATCTCCCCACAAGTGTTCAAATAGCATGCTAATTCTAGTTTGGGGTAAGCAATTCTTTTTTCATGCAAAACTAAACACCACACCGCCTCTGACAAACATACAATCTGCATAAATCTGGACGCTGATATCATAAGGAATAAAAAGCTTCTAGTAAAAACAACGAGGGGAGAATCTCTGTCAACAACTCGCTGTGTAGCAAGAGCTGCCCCTCAGCCATTAACCAACATCTCTCCAAAAGAGGATTTAAGACAATACAGCAACATTCGTGCTCATCTTTTTTTCCCCTCTAATTATTTCTGGCATGTGCTCGTTGCTTCCCGATCATCCGGTGGTAATTACTGAGCTCATTCAAGGACGCAACAAATCTTATCTGTCAGACAACTTTCCAATGTTTTGGTTACAAAACAGCCCGCTGTGCTTGCCGTAACCTCGTAAATTCTTGGGCAAAAAAAGAAAGAAAAAACAAATTGACTGTGTGTTCATTGCCAACATGTGACGGTGCACCAATTTTTGTAGCAAAAAGATAATACTGACTGCCCCACAAAAGGCGGCGTGGTCGTTCAATAGCCATTTTGTGACTGCAATTGTGGCGTGAGTCGAGGGCTCTCCAACGGAAATGCACTTAACCGACCTTATTGTGTATTCGCTATCAGCGAGAAGAATACTCTTAGCCTCATGAGGTAGAAAATGCCAGAGAATATGTTCCTCTGTATTATCTGACCTCGTTTAAACACAAAAGAAGGTAGAATTGGGGACTGAGGTGACTAAAAAAAACCAAACACCAGCAGCTGTGAAAGAATGTCCCCATCAGACTACAATGGCCCCATTAATCCGAAACTGTCAGAATAAAAAACAAGGCTGTGTCACTTGATAGAGCGACATGAATTCTACATCACTCAATTTTATATTCGACGAAGAATAATATATTTATCACTCGTAAATCATCAGAGCTATATTCAGTGAGTGTGAATATCTGCGAAACCATCTCCACAGCTATGCCGAGTCTATTTATTGAGGCGATATGCCAAATCCAATATATAATGTTTTAAATAAACATTAGCAAATATAGTATATCTTTGTGCATGTGCAGCTTCCATTATGAGGCACATTTATCTTAATCCAGTCGTCGTGCTTTCTTTTGCTCTTGTTGTCGGGCATGCAATTTTTCAAGGCATAACAACAGTAGGGGTGTCGGCTGCATACATAGCAGGGGTGTAACACAGATCTGCAATCTGTATCTGTTTATGTCACAAACATCTATTATCTTATGGCGATCGGAAATGGCTGTGATTTATACTGGAGGTCGACAGAAGTCAAACGGCTTTATCTTCTGTGTTGTTGAAGTATACAAAATAACATATTGTTAACTAATTTAATCCAAAAAATGATATATACATTATATATGAAAAAAGTTGCGAGAAGATTAAATTAAATTGGTTTTAAGATTCAAAAAAGTTAACTTTGGTTAATTCTTCTGTTGGAGTACTGCTCAATGGAGCGATGGTTTGCAGACAGGTATAACACAGGAGTCAGTGGTACAAATGATGAATGAAACGTGTCTTTTGAATAACCTGGGTTAACAGGGTGAAGTAAACTGAACAATGTTGCACGGTTAGCTCGCTAGCTACAGCAGTTCACCAGAACCAGCCCTGCAGGTAGTCACTATGTCACCAAGCTTCTGGCTTTGTTTGATTTGTGATTTGCTTTCTTACGCTGTGACATAAGCATGTGGATGAAGCAAGATTGTTAAATTGTACTCGTGTAGTGGCTGGCTGGTTAGTTAGCTAGCTAGCCAAATCCACAATGTTTTCATGCTACACTGGAGCAATGTAGCTACTCATCGGGCCATAGCAATGTGATTTTCTATGCCATTAGTGTATGAACGGGTGTGAATGTGTGAATTCATTTTGAGTGGTCGTGACACTAGAAAAGGCGCTATACAAGTACAAGTCCTTTTAACATTTACCAATTAAGTGACAGAACAAAATAAAACAAATATTACTGCAAATTGCTGTTTGTACCTCGTCAGATCACATTTACTGAATTATGAATAGTAGTATAATACAGTATGTATGAGGCTGTCCCCAACTTTGATTCAGTTCTTTGGGCGCAAAAGCAAGTGGAAACATTCCTCTTATCCAGCTCAGAGGAGGCTGTTTAGCAAGTCCTCATGCAGTGGAGCCGTGCCGAACAAAACAGAAGTAGGTCACCATTAAAATCCTAACCCTATATGCTTCTCTAACACTCAGGTACCTCTACCCGGCCTCCCAGTAGGCCTCACGCACCTGCGACGGGCTCTTCTCGCTGTTCATCTGCATGCGGCTCTGTGGGAGAAACATGTCAGCCCAATGCACCAGGTTGGTGCCACAGGGAATACCCCCCAGCACTCTGTAAATTGGCTGTTGCCTACATTATAGCGACAGCCAAAGATTTACAAACCTAAAATGGGATGACAAATATGTAAAGATGTAGCAAAAGTCTTTCATCTTTTCAGTCCTCGCTTTTCTCAGTCTCAGAATTCTATCTCTCATCTGAATGTATTATAGTCGACTTCTGTATTTATTTTGGTACTTTAAACATTTACGGGTTGCTATTCATCTTAAGATGGGCCCTTTTATACTGCGCTTTTTATATTCTGTACCATTTTTGCCATCTAAAACCTTTCACTGTCATATCGGGCATCATTAAACCTCTACCGGAGCCAAGGTTTATGAAAAGAAATGTTCCATAAGTTTGTTCACTGAGCACACACACACTCTGACGTTTTTCTGGCTGTCTCATCACTGCATTGCTATGAACATGAATGGCCAGGAAGTACAAAGACAGAATAGCAAACATGAACTCAGTTTGTAAAGTTTAATTAGGTCGAAATCTGTCAATCGTGCAGCGTGCAGGAAGAAATGACAAAAATATATAATTTTGGTGCATGCTTCAGCATTTATCAGCTGTCAACACAGACAGAAAAAGGAACTTAGGGGAACAGAATACTGAAGAGTTTCAGAAAATGTATTACCAGAACAGTTACAATACAGTAGGGCCGTAACAATCAATTTAAGAGGGAAGCCAAAACTCTTGAGTCAAATATCAAATACCTGACACAACGACCACATCTGGAAGTGATAATAAATTAAAAAAATCTTCAAAAAGAGATATTTTCATTGGCTTTGAGAAAGTTGATTTATCTTGAGCTGCTATTTAAAGGATGTATTGGATCTATAAACGCTCTCTGCTCAAGGCCGCAATGATAAATTGCTGTTCAATGTGATGCTATCACAAGACCCCACTTTCAATTCTGTTGATTTCATCTTCTTAAGGGGTTCTCGTGCACTTGTCTTTCCACTTGTATTTTGGTCATTTCTGCTTCTTTGATGTTTTGATTTACAATTCAAATTCTTTTGGTATTTTGATCA